CACATTTTGAAAGCGTGCCGTCCTCAATCCGTGAAGCTCTTGCGAATGTCTAAATCGCATGTGCGCGGCGCTAAAGAGAGAGATTTGAAAACGGGTCGCCCTCCATCTGTGAAACTGTTGCCAATGTCTAAGCTTCAAGACCAACAATGGTGAGGACGTCTCAGGCGAAGCGCCCGTCCCGCCCTAAAAACTTGCCTCGGGGTGCTACAGGGAGAAATTAGTTATAAGGAAAAGGAGGAGCTAAGAGGGAGAAGTTGAAGCTAAGAGGAGGAAGAAGGAGGAGGAAGAGGAGGAAGAACAAGAGGAGGCGAAACGCTGCAATCCATGCCGATTGAAGTTCGCCCAACGTTAAACAAGAAGGAGAAAGAGGAGGATGAGGAAGAGGAGGAGGCAGAGGAAGAGGAGGAGGAGAAGGAGGAGGAGGGAGGAGGAGAGCGGAGGAGGAGGAGGAGGGAAGGAGGAGGAGGAAGAGGTAAGAGGAGGGGAGGAGGGAGGAGAGGAGGAGGAGGAGAGGAGGGAGGAGGGAGGAAGAGGAGGGAGGAGGGCGGAGGGAGGGAGGAGGGCGGAGGGAGGGAGGAGGGGCGGAGGGAGGTGGGCGGAGGAGTGGGGAAGAGGGAGGGGAGGGGGGGGGGAGGGCAGCGTGCCCCGCGGCGCAGGCCGTCCTGGCGGCGCTCAGGTTCTCCTTGGCCACCCTGTGCGCTCGGGGCGAGGCGCGCGGGCCCCCCCTCGTTGTGGCTGGGCCCCGTCGCCCCCGCTGTGGGGGCTGGCCCGCTGCCCGGGCCCGCGCCGTACCCATGGGAGGGAGCGAACGATTGATGGGCCTGTTTTCCACCACCACCACCACAAGTTGGAGGGGGAGGGGGCCCTCCTCCTCCTCCTCCTCCTCCTCCTCCTCCTCCTCCTCCTCCTCCCCCCCTCCAACTTATGGTGGTGGTGGAAAACACGCAAATCAAGGAGTTCACGAGCTCCACTCTGCAGCAGGAGGAGCTCGACCACAAGAAGCCTTCCACGAGAAACCCAACTCTTTTTTTCCTTGAGGAGGAGGAGGAGGCGGAAAAGGGAGGACGACTACCAGATTTCGGCGCCTAGGGTGTGGCCGCAATGCTGGCCTGTGAGACGCCAGGCAACCCCGGAACACCACACAAGCCGACCTGCAGTAGACAACTCGTGAGGATAACCTGGGCCTGGGAGAGAACGCGGCGCAGCAATGACAAAGCCCACGAGCCACGAGTGATAATTATTGTCCAGGCATGTCGTGCAACCCTGAGACCCCAGGGCGTCCCTTGCTTTTTGGTGGGGACCTCACGCTTTCCAAAGCAAAACCATCAAAGCACAAGAAACACTGTGCACCCTGGAGGCACTGGGTTCCCACTGTACGAGCTCCACTACAGCGAAGGCTGTCCCAACCAAGGGGATCGACATGTGGTGCCGCAGCGCCCAGTGCGCATGCTCGACGAAAGCCCCCGTCTGTAGATGTACGTCGCTGTCTCTAGGGATGGTGTGCCAATCCTCCGGCGTGGCTCTGAAGCCGCGTGTCTGCACATGCCCGCTCAGGTCGGCACGCCACTTCTGCCCGCGGTCGGCAGGGCAGTCTTCCTCTCGCTCGCCGGCCTGAGCCCATGGGTGCAGATGCCGAAGCCCCCCCTCAGATCTCCGACGATCTGTGGGTGTCGCTTAATGGGGGGGCGGCAGATGAGGGAGGGCGGGGGGGGGAGAAAGTTGCACTTTTCGGGCCCTCGAGGTCCCCCCTGGCTCCTTTCGGTGCCCTCAAGGGCCTCTTTTCTGCAGCCCTCGCTGCCTCCCCTTCTCGGCCCCCCATTGCGTGACGCCACGGTCCTACTTCTTTGTTTCACTCCATGCGTTTTTCCCCCGAATGCAGCCTCTAGGGCTCGCCTTCGGGCCCTGTGGCCACCAACAAGGAAGCATGTGGGACGACCCGTTTGCCCTGGGGAAGGGGTAGGGACCTCTGGGACCGCGGACTGAAGCAAACACAGAATCGCCACCGTGCCTGCAGCACGTTGAGGCGTGGAAGACTGCCAAGTGCTGCCTGGCCGGCCTTTTGAAGTCGTCCAAGGGGCCCCGCCCTCCGCGGGACACAGACTGTCACTCGGGGATCTTCTGACCCGGGTCAATCCAGACCCGGGTCAGCAGGAAACCAAAAGACTGCAATGCAGGAAAAAAACAAACAAACCGCAACGCATGTCTTCGCAAACCCGCGTCAGCCAACGTGCGCGGCCGCCTCGCGGCCACGAGCGGCTCGCTAACCCGGGTCAGCCAGAGGGGGTCTTCGCAAGATCCTGCAGGATCCGGTGCCCTGGCTGACCCCCGTTTGTATTGACCCCCGTCTCTTCAGCCCCGAGTCACCCGCACCCTCCCTACTCCGGGGGTCCCTGGGCGGCCATGGCGCCCCATTGCACAAGCACGGTGGCGGCGTTCGCCGCTGGCAGCCAGACATCTGCGGAGGTCTGGGGCTCGGCTTCGGGCCCGGTGGCCGCCAACAGCGAGGATCTGGGGCCTGGGGGAACTGGCCATCGCTCGGACGTCCATTCCCTCTGCTCTTTTCGGTTTCGTGCGTGGTTCTTTCGCCGGATGATCAAGGATGCTCCTCGATGGTCCTCGCCGAAGGAGACATGCACACGTCCGAGCGATGCCAAGGAAGGGGTCGGGACCCCTGGGGCCGCGGATAGGAAGAAAATCACGCATCTGCGAATGCCAGGGGGCGCAGATGCTCAAGCCCTGCGTGCGGGTCCCAAGGTCGCTTGGCTTTGCGCAGCGCCCCCCCCCCCCCCTCCGCGGTGCGCGGAACGCGCGGTTCCTCCTCCTCCTCCTCCTCCTCCTCCTCCTCATCCCATGATCCTGGCGCCGTCGCGTTCCCTCGTGCCGCCCCCCCCCTTGGAGGAAGCAGGCGCTCCGGCTCCACCGGAGAGAAGGGCGCCCCGCGCTCGGAGGGCGAGACCCGCGCGGCGCGCGAGAGGCGCGCACGGCTCCGCGCCGCCGCGGGGGCCCCTGGCGCCCCGCCCTGGCTGCTTCCGCGGGCGCAGAGCGGTGTATCAAAGCAGCGTCTCCGCCGACGGGGGCGCCCGCCCCCGCTGGCGGTGCCGAGAGCGTGTGCCCCGATGCTGGCCATCGCTCGGACGTCCATTCCCTGTGTTTTTTTCGGTTTCGTGCGTGGTCTTTTCGCCAAATGATCAAGGATGCTCCTCGATGGTCCTCGCCGAAGGAAAAATGCACACGCCCGAGCGATGCCAAGGATGTGGCACCGTAGGGGGGCATGCACTTTGCGGCCGCCCAGGGGGCGGGCGTCCCCGACGGCGGAAGAAGCTCAGGTTGTACCGCTCTTCGCCCCCGAAATTCGTTTCGTGCCACAGCTGAATGACTGCTTCCACTGCTTGCTGCCTGTTGCTGTCCACCATGGCCCAATCGCAGTGGATGTTCTAGATGCTCGCCTCTGCAGCTTACCGCCGACAACTTCTGCGGGACACAACTGCTTATCTTGTTCCCCCTGGTTTGCAATTGATGGAAGATGTCGCCCACTTACACCTGAAGTTGCTCGGCATCCGCTCACCTGCATGTGCCAATGTACACCTTCGCTTGAGGCTGCCCAAATGGTGCGCCGAAGACCCACTTACCAGCGGTTAACCTCGCTGAAGCAATTTATCGTCACCGGACCACGTCACCAAGAGGGCATGCGCTCACAAGAGATAGGAGAAGACACAGATGAGCGGAAATCTGAAGACGAAGAAGCTGCGAGGCTGCGAAGCTCCGAAACCACATCTACCGTGCCTCGACCCGAACGGGTCATTCACGTGACCGCAGGGCTTTCTCTCCCCACTACCAGCCTGGTGCAGACATCAGCGCGTCCATGCTAGGTTGGATTGGCCCTTGCTCATGCTATGGCGCAAAGTCTACGGTGTGGTCAATCCAAGCGTAAGCCAGACGCGAGCCCACTAGGCCGAAATGGCTGCAGTGTTGTTCCAAGATGAGCCCACGAGGCTCCAACATGGCAACCAGAGGACCCCTCAACACAGCAAAAGACGGGCTGAGGCACAATACCAACCCGAAGAGGACTCCCAAAGACCCGCCCGAACGGCCCCAATAATGTGTTGCCGAGCCTCTTGGAGAGAGTCTGGTAGAACTCTCGCGCCAAAGACTGCCCACGAGCTTACTGCAAGGGCCCTGCAGAAGCCCCAATGGAACGATCATGGAACAATGAGAAAGACGTATGATAAAAAACCAACCTCTCTACATCTTCATGCCGCGTTGGTATGGTTGCTCAATTTTCCGTGAACAACTAGATCGCAGAACGGCATCATAAATTGCAGTGGCGGGGTCATGGAACGTTTTGGGTTGGATCCAGCTAGGATCCTGGCAAGGTCCTGGTTCGGTCCTGGCCCAGGCCTGATAGGGTCTGAGGAGCATAATGGGAAAGTCTTCGTAGGGCAAAGTCTTGTCGGAGTCATGGCGAGGCGCTGGCCAGGTCCTGGTGACGCACTGGCCCGCCTCCGAGATGAAATAGTTTTCCGCGCTGCGGTCGGAGCTCAGGTCCTGGCATGGCCTTCACGGATCCAAGCGCGGTCATCGCAGGGACCTGGTAAGGTCTTCATCTACTTTCCTGGCAGCGTCCTGGCAGAGACCCACGAGGGTTCAGGGTCCCGGTGAGCACCTGGAAAGGTTCTGAACTGGGAATGCGGCCGGCTCCAAAGCGAGAGCACTGCTGCGACTAACTCGGATCGTTCCGAGCTGCCTCCGAGTTGGCTCAGGGGCGAAGTCACCATTCGGCTGCGCGCAAGAGTAAACCTGGGCCGTCTATCAACACCTCTAGGACGCCAGGGTCGGCGGCATGGCGATGCGAGGGCGGCGTAGGGCAGGAATAACCGGAGACGTCCGCTGACAAAACGTTTCCCAACGCCACGCTTGTACTCCTGCAACACTATCCGCATCGGTCTGCAGCGTGTCAGATGCCGTGCTCGGGCTACCAGATGACGTGGTCGGGCTAGCAGATGACGTGCGCGGGCTACCAGATGCCGTGCTCGGGCTACCAGATGGTAATTACTGGGCCTTGATCGAGATCTTGAATTGCGACACCCATCTGGTTTATCCACTCATCCACTAAACACCGTCTCACCTCCTCCTCCTCCTCCTCCATTGCCTCCTCCTCCTCCTCCTCCTCCTCCTCCTCCTTGGTCTCCTCATCGTTCCTCTCCTCTCCTCCTCCTCCTCCTCCTCCTCCTCCTCCTCCTCCTCCTCCTCCTCCTCCTCCTCCTCCTCCTCCTCCTCCTCCTCCTGCGACACACAATAGCCACGGAGCGTGGTTGCTCTCGCCGCGCGTGCTGCAGCCTGGCGTCGTGGGGATGCCTCCGCCGCACTACCGCTCGGAGCAGGCGCTTCCCTGGTACTGCAAGAGCTGCTGCGGGCCCTCGGGGAGATCGTGGTGGAATCATGCAGAGGCTCGGCAGTGTGCGAAGTGCAAGCTCGGCAAGGGACTGGTCTTCCACGGAGTACGCAAGCCGTCCGCCCCCTCCCAGCGGAGGAAGGGTTACCTGGGCGGCGGTGGCAACGGCTACTGGGATGACTCCGTCAGGGTGGCCCAGCTCAAGTCCGAGCTCGCGGCGGCTCGCAAGCGGCTGGCAGCTGTGCAGAGGCCGCCGCCTGGCGGGGAGGACGTGCAGATGGAGCCCGCTGCGGACGGGGACGCCCCCGAGTCCGTTGCCAAGGACAGGCTGCGCGAGGTCGGCGACCTCATCGGCAAGCTCAAGGGCATCGCGGAGCCGTCGGTCGTTGCCACGCGCGACAAGCTGCTGGCGGAGCAGGCCGAGCTGCGGGCCAAGGTGGCGGAGTCTCGACCGCTCGGGCAGCGCTTGCGCGAGATGGGGGCTCAGTTCACCAGGCAGCAGAAGCTGCGGGACGACCAGCAGACTAAGCTGGAAGGACTGCAGGCGCAGATACGTGACTTGCAGGAGAAGGAGCGGATCACTCGTGACAAGCTGGCGGCCATCGACGCTAGCATGGAGGAGCTGGACCAGGAGCGCAAGAAGCTTCAAGGGCAGGTTCCTACGCCAGGTGACAAGGCATCGCTTGACGAGCCGATCAAGGGGGTCGGCGCCACGATCGAAGGCCTTGGTATCTTGCTCCAGAGCCTGGGCGCCGATCACCAGCTGTCGGGCAGCCTCACGGCGAGTTTTCAGGAGTTGCAGAGGTTGCAGGTGGAGGAGGCTGCGAAGCTGGCAGCCCAGAAGGCGCAGGCCGCTGCTGAGGCCGAGGCTAGTGCCAATGTTGAGCAGGCCGAGCAGCAGGACACTGCAGCAGCCCCTCGCACACCACAGCCAGCAGTCTTCTCTGATGACCCCGAGTTCATGGAGGAGGTCGTCGCTGCTGGTGGCGAAAAGCACAGGCTGGAGGAGATCTTCATGCGATGGGGCGCCAAGGTCAAGAAGCCCAGGCTCACCCCTGTCTAGCCTGGTTCCACGGTGCTGTCTTGTGTGGTTGGTTCCTTTTTGTTGCACCATGGCGTCGCTATCAAGTATTACTACCGTGAACGTGTCCTCGGGCGGCCCGCTCGTCGACTTCCTGCCCACGTGCTCAAGTTTGTGCATCGCTGTGCAGGAACATCATGCTAAGGCTGAGGGCGAGGCCTTGGCGAAGTTACAGAATAAGGTACGAGCTGCTGGGTACCATGGAATATGGGAGCCTGCCTTACCAGGGCAGGGAGCTGGCAGCAGAGGCGGGGTCGCGGTGTTGGCCCCGTTGCGGGTGGTCATCACCAAACCCCCAGGCCTTGACAGTCACGTGCTTCATGATGGCAGGATGATGGCGGCCCACGTTCACGCCGGGGTGAAGGGCGGCTTCGTCATGTTGTCGTGCTACTTCATCGTCGACGTGAAGCTGTCGCCTGAGAATCTGGCCATGCTGTACAAGCTGTACCAGTACGTCAGGTCGCTGGAGGCGATGGGCGTCCCGTGGATTGTCGGAGGTGATTTCAACATGGAGGTGGGCGAGCTAGGCCCTTTGTCCTGGCTCCAGTCGGCCAATGGGGTGGTGATGGCGCCGAGGGAGCCAACGTGTCTTCAGAGCCTTCCTGGCCGCACCATTGACATGTTCATGGTCTCCTGCCGTTTGCTACCTCGCGTTCGGCAACCGGTGGTGGTTGACGCGGAGACGTGGCCGCATCTGCCCGTGACCATGGAGCTCTCCGCCACGGCCTTCGACGCGAAGGTCAGGAGGCTAGTCGAGCCTCGCGGCATTCGTAGCCCGCCTGCGTCGGGGTGTGCGAGGTTTCCCCCCGACTGGGACCCGATCATGGTGGTCATCCAGAGCGCGACCGACAGCGAGGGCATCACCAGGGCCTGGGACGTCGTGCTCAGCGGCATCGAGTTTGAGCTGCAGGGCCGCTACGACCTTGTGAATGAGGCGGCGGAGTACTCCACGGTGCCAGGTCCCCCGACCTTCGAGCTGGTGAGCTTTCACCCTGTGGTGAAAGGAGCCTGGAGCAGGAGGTCGGCTGCCACCCAGGCCTGGGCGCAGGCTGCGCGCTGGGCTCGTCACCTCAGGCGAGTTCGAGTGGCATTGCAGAGTTTCGTGCTCCAGCTTGGCCCGCAGCATGACTTCGAGCTCGGCAGCGTCGGCGTGGTGCATGACGATGGAGTGCCTGGCCTGGGCGATGGTGCACCCCCTGCCGCGGAGGTCGTCGGAGTGGCTGGTCTCTCCTCCGATGGTGGTTGGCCTCGGTCGAGAGCGCAGCGACACCAGCCCCTGCGTCGTGCAGGCGAGGACCCATCGTGGGACGCCGTACACTCCAAGGCGGCGCGCCACCTGCTGGAGCGCGAGAATTTCTTCCAGAGAATTTGGCGGAGGAAGGGAGTCTGGCCGCACCTGGACGCCGAGGCCGTCGGTTTCTTCTCGCGTGGCATGCTGGTCTTAGCGCAGGCAGACTTCGAGCAGCAGGTCGACCGCATCCTGAATATCTCCTCTGATGCAGAGGCCAAGCATGAGAAGGCCGCGTCGCAGAGCTGGAGACAGTGGGCGCAGGCGGCTTTTGTGGCTGGCGCTAGGGGAGCTCACCGCTTCCTGAAGCCCAAGGCCCTCCAGGAGATCGTGGACGGAGGCAATGGGCTGCAGCATGGGTACGAACTGGCCGACCGTAAGCTGGAATTTTGGGAAAGCTTCTGGGTGCGGCATGGTGGTGAGGCGGTTCGCCGACCTGCTGATGCTGACGCTTGGGAGCAGCTACCAAGGCTTGAGGCGGCTGACGTGCTCAAGGCCATACGTTGTTTTTCTTGGCAGACAGGTGTCGGGCAGGTCAACATCGCGCCCAGGGCCATGGAGCACCTCTCCCGCGGGGCGCTGACGGCCATGGCGCGCCTCTTCGAGCAGTGTGAGCACCTGCTATTGTGGCCAGACGGCAGATTCATTTCGAAACTTGTGCGGCTCCCCAAGCCAGGGGGTGGGGAGCGTCTGATTGTGCTGATGAACACGCTGGTCAGGATCTGGGGACGGGCGAGGCGGCCTGTCTCGGCAGCGTGGGAGAAGGCCCATGCGCTCCCAGAGGTTTGGGGCCACACTGGAGGCAAGTCGTCAAGCGTGGCGAGATGATGACGCCCATGCTCAAATGCTACCAGGCATGATGGTTTGGGGATATCCCAAGCAGATGATGTGCGTACTCGTCGTCGAGTGATGCATTGTTGATTTGGACATGCCAAATGCTAGAAGGCGACCCTGTGACGATGCCATACGCCATCATTGCAGGGCCAGCTGGACATCCTGAAATAGAATTTGTGATTAGACAACTGCGCCATGAATGGCTCGTAAGATGGCTCTGTGTGGCGCGCAGGGCATGTCAGGGCATCCTGGCAGGCTGCACCCACGCCACGACGCTACTGATGGTGTTGCTGACTCGCAGTATTCGCCAGACGATGACAGTCGCTCCTCAGGTCCAGCCCAAGGACTTGGTGGATGATGTCGCGCTGTGTTGGGTTGGCAACGACCCGCGCGGAGTGCGGGAGATGGCCATCGCTACTCGTGCGTTCTGCAGGGCTGTTAGGCCCCTCGGACTGGTGCTGCAAATGGATAAGTCTGGTCACCTCACGACGTCCAGGCGTACCAGCTACCACTTCCAGAAGTACGCCAGGCTGCTGAAGATCTCTGGCAAGAGGCACATGCGGTACCTTGGGCACGATTTAGCTGGGTCATCGGCCACCAGAGCCGTGCAGAAGGATCGCCTGAAGTCTATGCACGGCAAGAAGGCCAGCGTCCGTGCCTTGCAGAAGGGAGCAGGGCGACAGCGAGCGGCTCGGCTTTGGGCCACGGGTGTGTTGCCATCCGTGGGGCACGGAGCCACGGTCAGCGGCATCAGCGACAGGGAGCTGCAGCAGATGAGGAGCATGGCTGGCGTCTTCTGCGGCTACAGGGGGTCGGGCTCCCTGACGCTGTACCTGGCCGCGCAGAAGTGGAACTTCGACCCCATCTTCCACGCTACCTGCAGCATCGTGGGGCAGTACGCGGCGTGGGTGTGGGATGGGCGTGTGACGCTCTCCCGCCTGCAGCGTGCCTGGATGTGCTTGCGTGACTCCTGGGGTGTACGCGACACTCACGTCACTTGGGCCAGTGCACAGGGCCCGCTGTCGGCGATGTGGTTGTCGCTCAGGAGAGTCAACTGGAACATGGCCAGCTCCACTATCTTGGTTGATGATGAGGGCCTGCACATCAGTCTGTTGCAGTATTGTCCCAGTGAGGTGCTGTTCTTCCTGCATCGCAGCCTGGACCGTTGGCAGAGCCACCGCATCCTCGACCAGCTTCCTGAGGCGCCCCCAGCCGATGGTGCAGGCAGGCGGCAGCACGTGTGGCTTCGTGCGCTTCGGCTGGGCCACGCCTCTTTGGCGCCTGGGCACAGAGGGGCGCTGGCCAAGCTGCAGTCCAACGGCTTCTGGTCGCCGCAGCGCCGCAAGCAGGCTGGCTACAGCGACGATGGCTCGTGCGAGTTCTGCGGGGAGGCCTACTGCGACCTCGAGCACGAGATCTTTGGCTGCAAGGTCTTGCATCAGCAGCAAGAGGACGAGGAGACGGAGCCGTACCCTGAGGACGTCGCCAGGAGGAGGAAGGACATCCTGGAGGCAGCCCCGTGGCAGGACGGGGGCCAGGTGCAGGACTTCTCGGCCCTGGACGTGCTCTACGCGCTGCCCATGAGGCCTGCCTTCAGGCCGCTGCCTGCACGCGCTCAGGCTGAGCGTGAGTGGGGGGCGATCGGCCTGCCGTGGCCGTCGAAGCTGTACGGGGACGGTTCGTGTCTGGAAAGTGACTTCCCTGAGGAGCGGCGCTGCGGATGGGCCGTTGTGGCCTTGACCCGAGACCTGTGGCCGTACAAAGCTCTGTTCGGGAGCCTGGGGGGCCCCATCCAGTCGGTGCCGAGGGCCGAGCGGGTGGCTGGTCTCAAGGCCCTGCAAAGGGCCCAGAGGCCAGCCACGTACGTGACCGATCATTTGCAGCTGCAGGTCGAGGGAACGGCTTGGGAGGGTCGTCATGCTTCTGCCAGAGCGCCTCACGCGTCAATCTGGCGGAGCATCCACGAATTGTACAGGGGCGACCCTGTCAGGCCCGTTTTTGTTTGGACGAAGGCCCATCGCACTGTTATCGAGGGGTTCGATGCGTGCCTGGCATCCCAGGAGCCCCTGGAGCATTTTTTCGGCAACATGTGGGCGGATGTTTTCGCCAGAGTGGCCGCGGCCGACTTCCTTGGATCCACCTCCGTGGTCAAGGCTCACAAATTTTCTCTGCTTCGGGCCCAGGACACGATGCGATGTCTGGCCTGGGCGGCCGAGCGTGTGGCCCGCCTCTCCACCCCGATCCTCCGTGCGCCTCCGAAGGCCGCGACTCGGCCCCGTCGTCCGCGGCGACCGACCGATCACGATTTCGTGGCCTTCGCTGGGGGAGCGATTCGCTGTCGTGCCTGCTGGAGGCAAGCCTCGACGGCTTCGTCGTTGAAGTCTCTGGCCTCCCGAGCGTGTGACCCCCAGGAGGTCGGGCCAGGACACCAGGTCCAGGCCTTAGATCGTGTCCTGATCTGTGTGAAGTGTGGGGCGCACGCTGTGCGCCCCAACCGGCTGTCGTTCGGCCTGTCTCGAGCGTGTAAGAGGGCTGGGACGGGGTCGGCTGGAGCTGGGAGTGGGGGGGACGGAGCCATCGCGTGGATGCTCGAGCAGGCTCGCAGGGGCCTGCATCCCAAGACGGGCGTGCCCCTCGAGCCGCTTGTCTTCTCGGAGCTCGAGGAGCCTGCGATGCCGCCGCAGGAGCCCGAGCCCGAGGCACAAGGATGAGGTTTGCTCCCTTCGTTCTCCCTTTCTGTCCCGAGGCGTGTTCGTGATTCACTTGCACGCTCTCTGCATTGTCTCCATTGTCTCCTCCTCCTCCTCCTCCTCCTCCTCCTCCTCCTCCTCTTCATTGGATTCCCTTTCGAAGACTTTTGGCATTGCGAAGTTCTCTAGCAGCAGGCTCGGGAACCTCTTGGGAGTCTTATACAGGGTTCCCGCACACCTCCGAACACCTCCTGCATCCTGAGGGCAATCTTCTGGGGTCGGCGGCATTGGCCGTGAGGCCTCTTCAATCGTCGGTGGACATCAGCCGGCCCCCTCACCGATCCGGACGGGGCCCGTCCTGGGCCCAGGCCCGGCGTCGGCGCCCCGCGGGCTCGGGCCAAGAGTGCGCATACAGTCGGGACGTTGACCTAAGGAACCCTAAATAAGGAATGAGGCCCCTCTTTTCAATAAGCACGCCTGCTCCGGGACTCCCCACCACGCCTGACACCGCCTGCCTTTTGGAACACCAGTTCTTAGAGGCCACCCACCCTGCAAAAACGGCGCCTGCTCCGGGACCCCCCACCACGCCTGCTCCGAGACCCCCCACCACGCATCTGCCTTTTGGAACACCTATGCATCAGTTCTCTGCAAAAACGGCTCCGGGACCCCCCACCACGCCTGCTCCGGGACCCCCCACCACGCCTCTGCCTTTTGGAACACCTATGCATCAGTTCTTAGAGGCCACTCACCCTGCAAAAACGGCTCCGGGACCAGCCTGCTCCGGGCCACCACCTACGCGCCTGCTCCGGGACCCCCCACCACGCCTGCTCCGGGACCCCCCACCACGCCTCTGCCTTTTGGAACACCTATGCATCAGTTCTTAGAGGCCACTCACCCTGCAAAAATTGCTCCGGGACCCCCCACCACGCCTGCTCCGGGACCCCCCACCACGCCTGACACCGCTTGCCTTTTGGACCACCTACGCATCAGTTCTCTTAGAGGCCACTCACCCTGCAAAAACTGCTATGGAACTCCCCACCACCCCTGCTCCGAGACCCCCCACCACGCCTGGCACCGCCTGCCTTTCGGAACACCTCTGCATCAGTTCTTCGAGGCCACTCACCCTTCAAAAACTGCTCTGGGACCCCCCACCACGCCTGCTCCGGGACCCCCCACCACGCCTGCTCCGGGACCCCCCACCACGCCTGACACCGCCTGCCTTTTCGAACACCTATGCATCAGTTCTTCGAGGCCACTCACCCTGCAAAAACTGCTCTGGAACCCCTTAGAGAGCTCCGGTGTCCCACCGGTGTCCCGGTGTCCCGCTGGTGCGTAAACGATAATGAGGCCGATGACAAAATCGAGTGTGAGATCGAGCGTGAGACCGATAGTAAGATCGATCGGCAAATCCACCCTGAGATCGCTAGTGATATCGATACTGACATCGATTGTGACATCGATTGTGGAATCGATGGTGAAATCGATCGGCAGATCGATAGTGAGATCGCAAGTGTGAACGATAATGAGATCGATTATGATATCGTTTGTGAAATCGGTAGCGAGATCGATCCGCAGATCGATGGTGAGATCGCTAGTGAGATCGATTGCGAGAGCGAGTGCGAAATCAATAGAAAAATCGATAGTGATATCGATCGAGTGAAATCGATAGTGAGATCACTTGTGAGATCGATAGTGAGAACGATAATGGGATGTATAATGAGATCGATCGAAAATAATCGATAGTGACATCGATCGAATGATATCGATAGAGACGTCGATCGTGGGACAGATATTGAGATCGATCGAGTGATAACGATAGGAGATCGATAGTGGGATCGATAGCCAGATCGAGAGTGAGATCGGCAGTGAAATCGATCGAATGAGATCGATACTGAGATCGACCGAGTGTAAACGATAGTAAGGTCGATATTGAGATCGATCGTGGGATCGATAATGAGAGCCATAGTGAGATTGAAAGTGACATGCATCATGAGGATCGATGGTGGTATTGATAGTGAGATCGATCGATCGTGGGATAGATATGGAAATCGATGGTGAAATCGATCGCGAAACCGATCACAAAACCGTTTGTGTGATCGATAGTGAGATCGATCGAGTGGGATCGATTGCCAGATCGATAGTGGGATCGATAGTGAAATCGATCGAATGAAATCGATACTGTGATCGATCGAGTGCGACCTTTTGTATAATCGAAAATGGTACCGATGGTGAGATCGATTGTGAGATCGATTGTGAGAGCGATAGTGGTATCTATAGTGGGATCCATCGAATAAAACGGATAGTGGGATCGTTCGAGTGAGATCGAGAGTGAGATTCATAGTGAGATCCATACAGAGATCCATAGAGAGATCGACTGAGATATCCATCGAGCAATGTAGAAAGTTAAATCGATACTGGAATATGTAGCGACATCGAGAATGATATCGACAGTGAAATCGATCGAGTGTTGCTCATTGCTGGCCCCCTCCCCCCCGAACCTCCTTATCACCTGCAAGGTGGTCGTATGGGTATATAATTATGTATCTATTTGCCTATCGAGACAACCATCAGGACAACCAGCGGGACATCCATCGGGAGAACCACCGAGGCAACCATTGATGCAACTATCAGGACAACTATCGGGACAACCATCGGGACAACCATCGAGACAACCGTCGCCAGAACCATCGGGACAACCATCGGGACAACAACAACAACCGTTCGGACAACCGCAAGAACAACCGCCGGGACAAACCAGGAGCCACGCCCAGCCCAGATGGCGGCCATTTGGGCTCGATCTGCTTTCTACGAAGAATCGTCCCATGTCTCAAGAGGCCTCCAAGATCGCGATGTAAAAAATCGCGGCATCGGACGTCGCGGGGCGGCTCTCCGCTTAGGCCGCGACGCGCGAGGCGCGGTTCTCTTCGCGCCCCTGGGGGTGACCTAGGAGACGCGCCGGAGCCTCTTTTTCCGCAGAGCGGCACTCCTCGCCTGCCGAGCCGCTGGAAACGACGGCGGCGACGGCGACGGCGACGGCGACGGCGACGACGACGGCGGCGACGACGGCGGCGACGGCGGCGGCGGCCGCGTGGCCGGCGCTGGCGTCGCGAGGGGAGCCGTGAGGCTCTGCGACGGCCATCGAAAGGAGCTCCAAAGGGAAGAGGCGAACCTGGACATCCGACGTCTTGAAAAAAAACAAGACGGAAGTTTGTAGCGATTTCCGGCCTCCAGGACCCTCGACGGGCCCCGGGACCGTCAAAAAACCACTCAGAATGAAAATCCAACTCCGGTGAAGTAGTCCAGACCTCCAGGGGGCACGCATTGAAAAAGTCAAGATATCGGATGTGCGGGGACGCAAGGGGGGTTTGGCGAATCAGCTACACGTAGCCAGTTTTCCCAGCGCCTCCCGGCGCCGGAGGCGGCGCCCAAATATCCAGAAATGGGGCCGGCGTCGGCGAGGGCCATCGGAAGGAGTCCTGAGGCCCAGATCCCTTCGCGCCGCGGAAGAAACTCGACGGGTGGCTTCGGTATATTTTGGGCCTCTGGGGGCCCTCCCTGGGCCCCAGGACCGTCAAACAACGACTCGAAGGCTGAAAAGCCGGCCCCGGGAGAGGGCTTCCAAACTTCTGCATGGGGGCCGAGAGCTTCTCAGGACATGCCGACGAACATCCATGAGGCGGGGAACGCGCAATCCAGTCACGGATTCACGGTTGCGGGCAAGGCCTAAAACCATTGCATACGTGGCCTGTTGAGGCCGTCTTGGAAACCCCTCTTGGGCCTTGGTCTCCGAAGCCGCCTTGGGCGCTTCTCGTGGGCCTCTTGGAAGCAATGTCGACACCCCCTTGAGGCCGTTTGGGGGCCTCTTTTGGGCCTCTTGGGGGCCTCTTCGGCCCTCTTGGAAGCCTCTTGGGGGCCTCTTGGGGCCTCTTGGGAGCTTTTTGGGGCGGCAGACTCGAATTTGCGGTTCGGGCTCCCCCTCTTGGGCCCGCGTTGGGGCTGTCTTGACGCCCTCCTGGGCCTTCTTGGGCGACTCTTGGGCGTCCCCGAGGCCACAATCCCGCGTACATTACTCAAGATTCGCGTCTCAGAGACCACGACCCCTCGTAAATTACTCGATAGTCGCACCCCCGACGCCATAATCCCTTCTAAATCACGCCACGTTCACAAACAGGCCTCACGACATACTTCGGAATCGCCTCCCCCTGCCCCCTTTCCCCTGTGCCTAGACAAGGGGGCGACAACAACCGACGAACTAAAACACAAACCGACAAACAAACGCAACAATCTACAAACTAAAACAACAATCGGCAAACTAAAACAAAATTCTACAAACTAAAGCAAATATCGTCAAAAGAAAACAAAAGTCAACCAAATGTGCTACGATGTCTAAGGAAGCCTCTTGGAGACAATCTGGGAGCTTCTTGGATGGAACCTCCTATAGGGCACAAGCCGCGCGAGAGGGTGCGTGTCGAAACTCGAAGTGCGAAAACAGACAGGCAGCAACAGCAGCGAACGCAAAAACATGCAATGCAGCGCTAATCGCGCTCGCGCTCACTTGAGCAAGCTCCGGTTTTTCCCGAGAACCGAAGAGCCCGAAGCCACCCAGAAACGCCACTGAACAACTCGAAAGCCTTCTTTGGGGTCGGCGGCAGAGGCGGCAGCCTTTAAATAAGGAATGAGGCCCCTCTTTTCCATAAGCAAAACCAAAGGCGAATTGCAAACAAACCAAGGAACACCGAGCCCCTCCCCAACGAAAAGGGTTCCTTCCTCAGGGCCCCGACTGTACGCACCGATCTGCCCCAGGATGGGCCTGGCAAGGATCGGTGCAGGCGGTCAGCCCATCTCCCGCGAAGTGAGGATCGGGCACACACTGACACGGATTTCGGGGATGGGCAGACCTCCCCTTAGGAAAACGTGGCTTCGTGAGAACGACCTCGGGCCCAAACCTGGCGGGCGCAAGCCTGGAAAACAACGGCCGCGGCGCCCTCTCGAGAAAACGAAAACGGACACTTCACTAATCGACGTGTCAGGGTAGGAGGTCTGTCCACCCCCGAGGATG